ATATTATATCGTCGAATCGCTACGTCTAGGTATCCTAAAATACCTCTAGTATAATAAGTTATTAGTATCTATATATTTAATTTATATCGATTAATAGGTTTAGAGGAAAAAAAAAGTTATCGTAAGATCGGCTAAGGTATAATTACTATTAGCCTTTATCCGCCCTTAGTATTAATAAGGGAGCAGCGGGTCGTATAGGTTATCGTAATTTATATTAAGGCGCTCGTACGTCCTCTATATAGTAGGTAGGTAACCATAAGAGGGCTGCCTTAATCGTTAAAAGCGCTATCTACTCGCGTAAGATATACTATATTATTAGCGGTTCGAGGAAGCGGTTAGTATCGAGGGCTAAGTACTATCCCTAGTAACGGTAGTATTACGACGAAAGTTCTCCTAGGTTTTACGGGTTCCTCCGTATAGTAAATAAATAACCATATAAGGGATATCTTAATCGATATAAACGCGGTTTAATCGTCGTATTATATTATAGTATCGATAGCTTATTAGCGTTATAAGTATTAAAGGCTAAGTAATATTCTAACGGCTATAGTATCGTAATAAAGGTTCCCGGGCTTATACGTACTTCCCTATAGTAAATAAATAATTATAAGGCGGAATACTTTATTTAACGTAAAACGCGGACTACTTCGCGGGTTAAATAGCGGCGCCGACGGCGATCGGTATCCTTTAAATTCTAGTAGCGTAATAGAAACTCCGTAAACTAAAGGTTAAGGGGTCGAAAAAGTTATAGGGTAATCGCTACTAAGGAGGAGCAGAGCGTACGCGATACTAAAGACCCGAATAGGTTTATTCGAAAGTATACTTTATCGAAGACTATAATACGTACGATAGTCTAAGATAAATAAAACTAATATCGCTATATTAATCGAGAGGTAAGGAATCTAATGTAATTATCGTATTTTAGCTATGCCCCTTAGTCGTAAAGATATAGTAATCGCTAACCCGAAGGTATAAGAGGTAAGGAAAGAAAAGAAGCAAAACGTAAAAGTTACTTATTCGGCTATAGCGGTACGACGAAGTAACTTAAGCGCCTATAACTAAAATAGATATACTAATCGAAGAACGACGAATCTAATAATAAAAACGAATCTTTAATTAAGGTAAAAATAATAAAGATAGCAATCTAGCTAGGTAATAAATTAAATAATAAGTATAATATATCCCGTACTTACGGAAGCTATGGTTACTCTATATAGGCATAAGGCCTATCGTAGCGTATCACGTAATATATTAAAAGGGCATGTCTTACCGCACCACTATAATAGCTTACGCTAATAACCTATTATAAGCTCGCTACGAAAGCGAGCGATAGCAAGGGAGTACCGTAATTAAGAGAAGACTTACTTAAATAAAGTACGAACGGATAAAGTAATATATAAGTTATGCTTTATAATCGAAAGTAATAGGGAATTAAAAAGAAGCGTATCGGGTTAGCTCTAGATATACCTCTATAGAAGAAAAGAGGAGAGGGAAAGAGCTACTACGAAAGAGTAAAAGAATTTTCTCTTATAATATAAGAGCTCGAGTATAGGAAGGAGCGTTACCGGGTATTAACCTAGTAAAGCTACGAAAGGGTTCGCGTACGATAATAATAATATAAAGCGACGTAATAGGAGCTCTTATACGCGTATAACGAATACGGTAAATATACTTAATTAAAAGCTACGATATATCTCTTTTATCGAGATATTAAAAAGAGTTAATATAGTAGTTAATTAAGAGGATATTATAAGCTATTAGGAGTATTATATGGAGGCTTAAGTAACCGAAGCGACGAATATATTACCCCGGAAAGCTAACGAAGTGAGTAAGGCTTAAGTTAACCTAGGACTTCTATTAGAAGGGCAGCTAAGCTAACTATCGCGAGCCCTTCGGCTAAGCTATTATTATTATTTAGCTAAGCTTGCTATCGCGAGCCTAGCTAGGGGGTATATTACGTAAAGAGCTACCTATATATAGCTTCTTACTTCTTCTCTACTTACTCGCTTACCTAACATAGCTACTAACTCGCTTATATAACATAGCTCGTAGCTCCTTATTATCTATATATAGGTAGCTCGTATTTCCTTTATCCATATCCTTCCTTCTTAAATAGTTAGTTAATTTACCTTCTTCTTTCTACCTTCCGTTACTCTTAAGAAGCAACCTCAGTACCTACGTAGCTCTCTCGATCTACGTAATATACGATTAAAGACGACGCCTTCGATCGGATAACGTATACGTTCGGATAATCATAACGAACCGAAAGAGGAAGTAATCTCGAGTCTTTTATAACCTCTTAATCTGCTTATTACATCACGTTAATAAATTAATAAGATAACTTTAGTTATAATTTTTAAAGCAGTATTATACCGTATCTTATTTTTAAATGATCGATCGAGGTCGCTTAATAAATTTAAAAGAACGGGAGGCTTGATCCCTTCAATATAATAAAGGAATACGTCGAAGTAATAAAATAATTTTATAGCGTTCGGGTTTTATAAAAAGAGGTTAATATCGTTAAAGGTCTCCGGGAAACCGTAGATTAGAAAAAGCAATTTAACTTCGCTACCGTTATAATCTCTATTTAAGGTACTTCGGTTAGAAAACTCTTTAATCGTAAGTTCTTCGTCCGCTTTATTACGTAAGCAGAGGTCTAACGTTCCTCCGTAGCCTTAATACTTAACTCCTTTCGCTTCCTCGTATCTGCGAACGTCGACCTCTATTATAATAACCTTATCGAGGTAACGCATCGTTCGTTCCCTCCTTCCGGCTTAGTTAAGATTAAAGCTTTTTAATCTAAGGAGGCCTCTATATCGTATAGGTAGAAAAGAAATATCTAATTGATCCTCGAAACGCGTCCGTTCCCTTACTATTCTGTTAATTAAAAAAGATAAGCCGAGATTAAGAAGAAGGTAGCTGAGATAGAGAAGAAATACGCTAATCGGATTATCTTAATAAGGATAAACCGGGCTAGGTTAACCGTAAAGTAATAAAAGGGCCTCCTTATTATATTAAACGATAAAATAAAGGCTCGGCTTTAATAATTGAATGATAATTAATAAAATAAAGTTTCGCGATAGGTTTTAAAGGAAGATATTAACTAGAATATACTATATTACCTTTTTTAATTTAATTATTCCTTACAGTATAATTAAACTAAGAAAGCTATAATAATAAAGTAAGATATATTCCTTTAATATATTACGTAATACGTTATGATAGACCTTATATTTATATAGAATAATTATAGCTTCCGTAAGTACGAGTTATACTATACTTATTATTTAATTTATTACTTAATTAGATTATTAACTTTATTATTTTTACCTTAATTAAAGATTTGTTTTTATTATGAGATTTATCGTTTTCTAATTAGTATATTTATTTTAGCTACGAACGTTTAAATCGCTTCGTCGTACCGCTATAGCCGAATAAGTAACTTTTACATTTAGCCTCTTTTCTCCCCTTACCTCCTTTACCTTCAGGCTAGCGACTATTATATCTTTATATCCGAAGAATATACCTAAGATACGATAACTATATTATATTCCTCGTTTCTCGATTAGTATAACGATATTAGTTTTATTTATTTTAGACTATCGTACGTACTATAGTCTTCGATAGAGTACACTTTCGAGTAAGTCTATCCGGGACTCTAGTATCGCGTACGTTCTGCCCCTTCTTAGTATATAGCCAGCTTCTGAAAGCGCGGCCTCAGTAGAGCGTACCTTCCTTCCTTTTCCTCCTCGTACAGCTTTATTCTTTTAATTAACACCCCTTTACTTAGCAAACAGCTATTAAAACTATAATAGATATAATCTATTATAATAATTAATAAAAAAAATAAGTTATAATATCTTTATATTAAGCAAATAATTTTTATCAACTCTTTTTTCTTAAGAAATATTAAGAAATAATTTTTAAATTATATAAAATTTTAATTAATATAAACTAACTATATTATTAAAAATATCTAATTTTTATATAGTTTTTAATATTTAAAAGTACCTCTTATATATTTAATGTCACGTAAAACGTAGACGCCTACATTCACGCTTTGCGGTATGTAGGCTTATATAGGCTAGTTCAACTGCTCCGTGACATTTAATAAATGCTCTTTAATCTTTTATGTTATATCAATATATTAAATTATTACGCAACCATATTGTCGAGATGGTGACTTTAAATAGGTAGCCCGCTCTTAGCTAGCCCACATAATATATCGTCTAACCCTCCTTCTCCTTCTCTCCTACGATACTTGGGATCTACCACAGTATGCATGTATCTTAGCGGCTCTTCTTGGCGTAAGGGGCCTCGTTCCCCCGTTCATCAATACATTACAGCTACCCTGCAACACTGATTCCGCGATCCTCCTACCCACTGCCTCTAGATTTCAGATTTCATAAGAATAGTCGTGACACATCCGTTCCGACAGTTAACAGGATTTCCTTACCTCCCAGCTTCTTTCATCTATCCATTTTTCGTCTTCATTTTTCTTCGACTGGACCTGTAACACCCATCCTTGGCCAGGCCATTTGATCCCCGTCCCGGACTCGGCCAATCATAGTAAGTGGCTTAGTTGGAGAACCGCCCCCTTGAAGTCTAACTTCTCGTTTCCTCCGAGGCTTACCTTGCGTCACTCTGTTCAGTCCTCTCAGATCATAACCCCCCTTGCCCTTCCCCCGTCCGTTGCGCCCTGCATGTGTACACATGGAAATCCTCGTCGCATGAGACGAGGAATCTCCACCACCGGTTCCAAACACACCAGCTGATATTTTTGGCCGGTCCCGATCCAACTGCCCTTTCGAACGTCTCACGTCACGAGCTTGGCAACACTACCGGTCTCTAGCCCACCACCTACGAAGAACGACGGCCCAGCCCTCCTTCACACTCATTTATCAAGTCTCCGTTCCCGCCGTCCGCCGGTTCGGACCTGTTTTCTTGGGACAGAAAGAAGAACAGGCAACGCTTGAGGAATGTGGAGGACGGAGCCCATCATGGACCAAAACCGGAACAGACCAATACAGGACGAAGAGAATAGTCTCGCCAGACCGCAGATTTTCGTACAACTCGCATTCGGCGTATCCTGGTCACGGCGACATTCACCGCAAACTCATACGCTCACCTATGTATCCCGTAATCTGAAGAACACCAGGGACTCTGGAAATTTCCCTCGTCAGGTGCCACCACCCGGCACCAATTTTCTAGCCATCCCACAGTCCAGTTCACATCGGCACCGGGAGCATTCGGATCGGAATCATCAACAGCGACAGCGGCAACATAGCCGCCACTACGACCACCGTCTCGAGCAGCCCTATGCGTTAGATCATCCCCGCGAACGTGATCGCCCTCACGACCAAACACTCGACCAATCAAGCGAGCAATTCAGATCCCGCCCAAGACAGGGCTCAAGGGGAGAAACTCGACGATTACTACCTGAACGAGGAAGGTCAGCCCCGCCCCCGTTTAATGATAGTCCTTGGGATGTTCACCCTGCGTCTGGGTCGGTTCTATTCCCATGCCAAGTGCACACTGGTGGGGATAATTCGCAATCATTGAAAGCGCTGCCGGCGCCGCCGAGTCTATACCGATTAGGGGAAGATGGACTCCCGTGGTCGGCATGGGCATGGCCAACGGACCTTCGGGACGACGGCGAGGATGAGACCAATTCAGTAGACAACCCGACGGCAACCACGGCCCCCTTCGCGGTTAGGGTCCAGGAGGATCCCGCGAGAGTACGCGAACTGGAGTCATTATCCACGGCCTTGATGACGGTAGACAACGGTTTCGAAAATCAATGGTGGTACCAAGGCCCACGCGAGTCGGTAGCCACATGGTGTCCTCGGGAGACCGAAGATATTGACGATGCACGAACCATAAGTACAGCCGAGGCACTACTACCAGACTCGGGACCTCCGTCATCGACCCTCGGTCCCGGAGACGAGCAGTTATCAAGTCTCCATGCGCTCGTATCGCCAATCTCCGATACATCAACCCCAACACAGAGCTTCCAACCTTTATACAGATCACTAACCACGAGGTCGGAGGAGTTGTGGATGGGGAGTTAATAGGAAGCAAGGAACGGAAGACCATCTGCAGTTCGGGTGTAAGTTGGGAAACCAGGGGAGTTAATCGTGCTGGGCATGAAACGGAGCATAATATGGCCGGCCCCGTGCTGCCGCGAGGCTCGGAGAACCTTGACAAATACTGTCGTAGGTCTGAGTAAAGGATCCCCCCAACTGGCTGTAAGAAATACAGCCGGTCCCGAGCAGGCTAATGAAGCATTTACATATATACACAGGTGTCTAGGAGTTGGGTATTGCTTTGAATCTGAAAAGGTAAAAGGATATTATTGTTATTAAAGAATATTTCCACAGCGGATAATAGATATAATAAAGCGCTTACGAGCGGGTTGCGATTTTAGAACCGTGTTTAATAATATATATATATATATATATATGTAACTTTACTTATTGATTAGGTTATATTTATTTCTTAGGCTAATTAGGAAACCTGGCGGTAATAAGTGTAAATTCTCTTTTATTTTAACATATAATAATAACTTTACCTTTGTATTTATGTATAATAAACATTATAGCTAGTTATATATTTGTTTATATAGTTACTTGTTATTTTTACCTCATTATTTTTATTTACTTTTTATTTCACCTAGCTACTATCTACAACTTGCTGGTAGTTAATTATAGTAGCTGCTTCTATTATAATCAGCATTATAAACTAGTTATTAGCATCTATAGTTATTAATATATAACTTTTCTAATACCATGTTATTTCTTTATAATAATATATTTATTTTATTTTCAATATTATAACTTATGTACCTTTTATCTACGTTCAAAAGTTTAATTTAAACTTTTATAAAAAATATTTAGATATTATTACTTTATAAAAACCGGCTAAGTGTTATAACTATACTATACTTATTGGTATTATTAAGTTGTCACGTAGGCATGCACCCCTAGTGGGAACCACCTAGCTTACCTAAGCTGGTTAAGTACTACTATATATACTGTAGTGGTGCGGTGGATTTAGGCCACGTAGCCATTTTGATGTCTATTTATATGGGTCGCGCACTCATATTTTCGTCAGTTAGACTTAGACTTGTAGATATCACGACCTACAGCCATTCACTCGTTTCTTGCCATGCCTTTCTAGCCTTCCTCGATTGCCCGTTTCTAGTCTCCCTTCCTCTCCCTTCCTTTTTTTCCTTTCCCAGCTGCCGTTTTCAGCTGGCCGATCAACCGATTACAGCTGTTTACAGCTGTGATCTAGGGTTGATCGGCACTGGGCCAGTTGTTGGCAGTTAGGTAGCCGTTTCGTGCCTCCGTTAGCGTGCCCACGCTGCTCCTGTTCAATACCTATAGATTGCTCTATACTCTCTAGTAGCTTTCCTTCTTTTCTAGTTAGTTAATATATACCTTCTTACCCGCATTTCATTACTTTCTTTACGCGTAACCTATTAACCTATACGTAGCTCTCGTTAGCTACGTAATAATTATAAGCCCGGGGTACTTTTAAGAAGCTATTATTATTTAGGTTATTCTAGCGTAAGTAAGTAATATATATTTATTCATCTTTTAGATTTTACGATTATTCTTTCTTCTTATTTCTATACCGGTACTTTACTTTCGCATCTAGTACTAAATAATCGCTTACTTATTCGCTATAACGATTAATACGTCCGAATTCTCCTTAGATAAGATTCTAGTTAACGTTTATCTACGAGCCTGCGATAAGTAGCTACTTAGTTCGGTATCTAGAAGGAGGTTAATTTAAATAAAGCTAAATTTAACGCTACTCGAGTCGTGGTAGGTACTCTTAAGGAGTATATTACTTAAGAAAACGAACTCCTTAAAGAAACCTATAAGAAAGCGGTTTACGAATAGGTATCGATCTTAACCGAAGACCGAGGAGATTAATTATTAAGGCTTAAGGTACGAATTCTAGAGTAATAAACGGCTACGTATAATAAGCTCGTTTCCTAATAGATAACGATCGAGGCTTAGGTTATAGCTATTAGTAAATAATATAAGGTTCTCTATGGTTAGATTTTTATATCTATTTCTATAGGCTTTCTTAAGGTAATTAATATAAAAATATAGCTCCTAAACCTTAATCCGATTATCTAAAACCTCGTAAAGATCCTTCGTAAGTAGATTACTCCTATCGAAGCCGTTATTAAGACGTTCGTTAGGCGAGAATACCGTAAGGTACTTTAAAGAGTAAAGGTAGGTACCTATAATCCGGAGTAATTTTATATTACGTAATAATATACCTTCCTTCGTACTCGCGCTTATTATATTAATGAAATTAATAGCGTTATAGGAGTAAAGGATTTCCTCGAAGTAATTAAGGCTAAGATCGTAATCGATTAGGTTATATAGGTATTAATCGCTTTTATTAAAACTAATAGACTCGGCGAATAATTAAAAATCCTTAAGTAACTAGGTATCGTATTTAGCGCTCTCGCTACCGAGAATAAGTAGAAAGGTAAATTAGGCTATAGAATTTTCGTAATAGCTTATTAAGATCTAATATTAGAAGCGAGGTTAGGTAATAGTAGCGGCTAAGGAAAAGTAACGAGCTACGAATATCCTTATAAGTTTAGAGATAGATTATATATATAGGTAATTCGTTTTTATGGAATCCTTTAGAAGTCCGTTATTAATTAAATTATAGGTAACTTAAAGCCGATCCCGGTTAATATTATGCGAAAAATTAAGGCTAAATACGACTTACTTAAGTACGCTAAGTTCCGAAATTAAATTAACCGCTAAGGGTAGGACGTTCCCGTAAATAATGTACCTAATAATCGCTCCGGGAACGAGGGAGGAAATAACGTTATTACCTAGTTAACTAATATTAGCGTAATATTTATCGACCTACGTATTATATACCTATTTACCTAGATTAAGATTTACTTTATAATAGACTTAGTCCGATACCTACTATCGGAAAGTACCGTCTTCGATAACTATAAAGCTATTTATCTTATTAATAATTATAACCTTCTAATAAAGGGGTCGTTCGTTTCCGCTAGAGACGGATAGACGGTCGAAGTTAGTATTACGAGCTTCTTTATTACTAATACGGGTCGTAGGATTATCGAGAAGTATATATTAGATTAATCTAATAAGCCTACCTTTAATTTAAAGCTTAAGGACGTCGTATTTATTAAAGATTTCTACGTTAATATTATCTCTAAGGCGAAACTTTATAGTATAGGTATTTAGTTTTACGGTTTAAATTATACTTTAAGGAATGGAACCTTTGAGAAAAGTATTATAATAAGGAAGCTAAAGCGATGCTTTAACCTAGTCTTTTTCGAATTTAAGTAGTTCTTTTCTTACTCGTAAGTCTTATTTATAATTCCATTTATAATATTATCGAGTATTCCTCGTAGCGTAGCGTCGATCGTAATAATACCTTATTTCCCGGAGAGAAACGTCCGGTAGAAAAGATCGAGAGATATTACTAAACCGAAAGAAGACTCCGAGGTACTTTAGTACTAGCGAGTAAGGTATCTTAATCCTAAGGCGCTTAGAGCCTTCGTTAAAAACGCCTAGAACGTTAAGATTAACGGTATGCCTATAATTAAATACGAGTATTATAGTTAAGCGATAGGTAAGAAAGTAATCTCGCGTCGTTTATTAATATATCGCTCGCTATGTCTTTTTTAGAAGGTATATTAGGATTTATTTAACTACTTAGAAGGTTACGACGGGTTTAAGTAGTTTATTATAATTAGGGATAAATTTAGCGGAATATTATAGGTTAAAACTCTAGAGAGTAAGTAAGGCCTACTAATAATAAGAACTCTTCGACTCTTTAAAAAATAGATTCGGAAGTAATTCCGATTCTTAATTTATAAGATACGCTACGATAACGAACGTTTAGTAATAAATATTAAAGGTATATCCGGATATAAAATTTAGGTAGTAAAAGAAGGCATTAATCTCAAACTCCCGCCGGTTAATACTAAAGAACTAACTAATAAGGGTAAGAGAGTAGGTTAGATTATTATCGTTAAATCGATTAAGATAAGGATTAAAGTAAGGCTATTAGAAGAACTATAGCCGGAAACCGTTAAAGCCGTAGTATATCTAATTAATATTAGCCTTAATTAAGCTTATTATCTTTATATATCTTACGAGCTCTTAAACGCCTAGTTTAAGTAGTACTTTAGATAGTATGCTCTGGAGGTAATAAGGGAGTTAACGAGCGACCTACGACCGGATTAGAACGGTATCTATATATACGGGTATCGCGCGTATCCTTTAATAGAAGAGCGTACTTTGGATCTTAATAAGAGAAGGTTTAAGGTAAACCTACGAGCTTATATCGAGTATTTAGTAGGATGTTATATTCGTAACCTATACCGAATTTAGGTTCCTAGGCTAGGTAAAGTAATCCTAACTAAGGATATAGTCTTTAATAAAGAAACGTTTTATAACTAGATAGATAAATTAAAAGCTTAATAACTTAAACGGAAAGAGATTAATCGAATAAATCTTTCGATACGTATAGGTAATGTAGTGGTGCGGTAAGACATACCTTCTTAATGCATTACGTAACACGCTACGATAGGCCTTATACCTATATAGAGTAATTATAGCTTCCGTAAGTACGGGATATATTATGTTTATTATTTAGTTTATTACCTAATTAGATTACTATCTTTACCATTTTTTACCTTAATTAAAGATTCGTTTTTACCATTAGACTCGTCGTTCTCCGATTAATATATCTATCTTAGTTATAGGCGCTTTAGTTACTTCGTCGTACCGCTATAGCCGAATAAGTAACTTTTGCGTTTTACTCCTTTTCTCCCCTTACTTCTTATACCTTCGGGCTAGCGACTACTATATCTCTACGACTAAGGGGCATAACCGAGATACGATAACTATATTAGATTCCTTATCTCTCGATTAATATAGCGGTATTAGTTTTATTTATCTTAGACTATCGTACCAGCTATAGTCTTCGATAGAGTATACTTTCGAGTAAACCTATCCGGGTCTCTAGTATCGCGTACGCTCTGCTCCTCCTTAGTAATAACGTTATTTAATTAATTATCGAAGTATTAGACCTATAGGATTCGCTCGTATTATTTAATCGAGAGTTAAGTAGCGAGCTAACTCCCTTCGGGGGTAGCGAGCTTACCTCGGGTAACGAGGATCTAGATACGACTTAATCCGCCGGTCCTAACTCGGGAAAGGGATAGCCTCTAAAAGAAGAACTAGAAATAAATTCCGATAATTTAAAATACGAAACGGCTAGGTCTAAAGACGATTAACCGTAAAAGGTAATAAAACTACTCGAATTAATTAAATAGAAAATATAAGAGTAACTTAAAGCGGAAACCTAGGAGAAATTAAATAAAGAAGCGGATATACTTTACGGGCTCCCGAGTCTAAGACTTACTTTAATCGTATTCGTAGAAGCTATAGTAAGTAGGAATATTCCGATAAGGAATATAAAGTAACTAAAGTTATATACGGCTATTAATAAAAGTACCGAAAGTCCGGAGCGGCGAGTATACTTCGCTAACGGAATAAATACTCGGGAATAACCTCTAAAATAATTAACTAAAGAAATTTGTACTTTCTCTAAAGAAGAGGAGTAATATAGCCTATCCCCGTAAACTACTTAGCGTAAGTAACGTACGAAAAAGGTCCATCCTCTTATTATCCGTTATAATAAAAGAAAGAGAGGAGAAAGCTAGAAAAGGAATAAAGTAATAGGTAGCTTAAGTATTAAAGTTTACGTAATATCGGATAACCTAACGGCTAAGAGTAACCTCCTAAGAAATCGCTAATTCGACTTCGTAATAACCTTCTAGCTTGATTAACTAAAAGAGTAATAAGTAAAGAGCTACGATAAGTATATTACGCTATACTTAGTTTTCGTAATAATCGTAAATTAAACGAAAGCCGAGCGATTAGGCGTATCGCCTAGTAAAATAAGAATTTACCGTAACGATTTACTTAAACCGCTAAAGATATAAAAGGACCTAGATAAGTATCCTTTAGGAGAACGATTTATAGAAAACGCTAGATCTAAGATTAAGGCCTTTTTACGTATTAAAGTATAGCGTATTATTAATCGTAAACGGATAAAAATAAAGCTAATTCTATTAATATAGGTCTTCGATTATAAATTCGACGAAGATAATTTCCTTATTACTTATAAGTCGCGCTTAATAACGAAAGGAGACTTATAGCTTAAAGAGTTACTCGAGAATACTTACGTAGTTACGTTAGTAACGAAATCGTTCCGTATAGTAATAGCTATCGTAACTTAATTCGACCTCGAAGTTAATTAGTATAATATTAAAAATGCGTTCCTTAACGTAGTAAGACCGGAAAGCGACCTTATACCTATAGAGTTACTAGACGGGTTTAAGGAAGAGGGAAAATACGCCTTCGTTATAAGAATAATATACGGGTTTAAAGATTTACCTCTACTCTAGTTTAAGAAGATCGAGAGTACCTTTAACCGCTTAGGACTTTAGAGCTCTCTAGAGGAGCCGTGCTTATTCTATATAAAAGAACGAGAAGTCTTCGTATTAATATACGTAAATAATATACTAGTTATAAACTATAAAAGCTTAGAGGCGATAATATAAAAGGTAGCTTAGGGGTTAAAGGATACTTATAAAACGAAAAAGCTTAGATCGGTAAAGTAATATTTAAGGATTAGGGTAATACGTAATCGTAAAGTATAAACTATAACCTTAATATACGACGCTTATATCGAGAAGATTATTAAACGCTTTAAATTAGCAGATAATAATTAGTTTCTAATAATATTACTACTAATTACCGAGCTAGTAAAGTATATAGGCGTTACTTCGAAATAATAAGTTAAGGAATACCAAGAGAAAGTAGAGTTACTATTTTATAGCGTAATTATAATACGTCTAAACGTCGCTTTCGTAACGTTTTAATTATTCTACTTCCTAATTAATCTAGTACCTTAATACTTTAAAGCGATTACCTAAACGATTAAATACCTATTATAGTAGTGCAGTGGATCTAGGCCACGTAGCCTTTTCGATGTATATTTATATGGGTCGCGCACTCATATTTTCATCAGCTAGACTTAGACCTATAGACATCACAGCCTACAGCTATTCACTCGTTTTTTTGCCATGCCTTTCTAGCTACCTTATTACTCCTCCCATTCTAGTCCTTTTCCCAGCTGCCGTTTTCAGCTGGCCGATCAACCAATTACAGTTATTTACAGCTGTAATCTAGGTCTGATCGGCACTGGGCCAGTTGTTCGCAGTTGGGCAGTCCTTGTTTCGTGCCTCCATCAGCGTGCCCACGCTGCTCCTGTTTAATATAAAAAGCCTTAAAGAAATATAATATATATTAAAAAGCTAAAGCATTGAAATATGAGCTTTATAATTTATTATAACTAACCTCGATATTAAAAAACGCTTAAAATACAATCGTATAAGACTTTATAATTAAGTTTTTATTATTTTAGAATTTAATTAACGGAATGAATCACGATAATATTCAAGTAATTATCGATGGGCTTACGAAGTACGAAACACTTATTTAATTTAATAAATTAATTATAATAAGATAAATAGCTTTTCTATTCTTATGATATCACGTTAATAAATATAGACTTTTACGACGAATTATAACGAATAAAAATAAGTTAATAACCTTACAATTTGAGAAAATACTAATGAAATAATTAGAAATAGAATAGAAAACATCTACGGTATTTTACCTAAAGTTAAAACGGATAAATGGAACGATTAAATTAAACCTTCGAATAATATCTTCAAAGTTATGTTAATTATAAATAAAATGTTTCAATAAAGTTATTTTTATTATTAAAACTAGCTTATAATATATTAAAAAATGAAGATATAAAGATTAATTTTTAAAAAGTAGTTTATACTAATAAGCTAAAAAGAATACGAACGCTAATACTAAACGAGGTAGCGCTAACAATAACGGAAGCCTTAAAAACTTTATAAAAGCGGCCGAAATAAAAGTACTATAGAAATAGCTATACGACGAATTAATTTACGTTTAATAGAGAATAAAGGTATATTATAACTTTAAAAGAATTGAGGAATCAATTTTAAAGAAAAAAAGTAAAGTTTATTTATTACGTAGAAAATAATATGTAATAAAAGGGATCCATTAAATAAAAACCAAATGATTAAACGTTGAGCGAGATTTTAAAAAACTAAGACTATTTAGAATTAAAAAGAAATACTCGAAGTTAAATTACGAATTAAAGCTACCTAAAAACTCTAGAATATACCCGATATTTTATATTAATATATTAAAACTCACCGATAAGAACGTTAGATTAAAAACCAAGAAGAAAAAAAAAGAACTCGAAATAAAAAAGATCCCAGACTTACAAAAAGTAAGAAATTAATTTTAATACTTGATTAAATAAAAGGAATACCTATTAAAAGAAAATACCTGAAAACCTATTAATTATTTATCGAATATTTAAGAAAAGCTTAGTTACTTTTTTCAATAAAACCTAAATCAGTTTAGAAGATAAATTAATCGAAATCCGACGATATAGGATTTAAAGCAGAACTTAATTCGGAAAGCCCGGCTTTAGAAGGAATTATAATAATAACTTCTTCTTCAATTAATAAATTACGCTTAATAAAAGAACGTAAATTATTAACGGTACGACGACGCTATTTACGTAAACAAATAGCTTTATTACATAAGGTAGAAATTTAACGCTTCGTTAAGTTAAGGTTTTTAATATTATTTAATTTAGCTTTAATACGATTAATCTCTTTAATAATTCGATTAACTACCTTTATAAAAACCCCTTAACGGTCGTAAAATAAATGAGTAAATAGATACTTTAGATAAGAATTTTAATCTTTAATAGGCTTATATTTCTATTTAATGTTTAGATAGGTAGTTAACTTAACAGTCGTGTTTGGCGGCCGTAATGGTTATGTTTATATTTATATTTTCGCGTACTGGTTATAAAAACCATATTGGAGAAGCGCAGAGCGTAGTGCTTTAACATAAATCAACTCATACGGCGTATACATATGCTAGTATTATGTTGTTGAATTTAACTGTTTAGAGTCTTACTTCAACGGAAAAGAGCAGCGAACGAAGAAAATGGTTAAGGAATGACATTCATTTTCGTATCCTAACAGAGCATGCAACGAACTACGGGAATCCGTAGTGTTGCCCCGGCGGGATTGCAGGGAAGGAAATGACGAAAGTATATGCTGTCCTAGCTAGATCCCTTACAACGAAAGCATTCCCGACTTTGCGAAAACAAGACACCAAAACACCACCCACAGCTAGGAGCTGCTCGTAATCCATCTGTCCGCTCTGTTGACGTGAAGCATATATACGCGTAGGGGTCGTATCATTGCTATAGTGAGATCCAGCTAGGGTTACCCATACAGTAGGAATAATTAGCGCGAGAGGTCGGTTAGTGAGGTTCTGCCGACGGATATATATACAAAGATCACCTAACAGCAGCTAATCGAAGGCAGGCAGGTGTATAGTGTGAAGGCCTCCGTCTTCATATATCAAACACTCTGTATCAAGTTTCAGCAGTGTGAAGTAATGTGAGAGTAGAAAGCGGAAGGGGATGGTGAGGGTCGGGGGTGGAATGGATCTGCTGCCGTAGCCGTGATCTCGGCTAGAAGATAGACGAACCATTGCGATAGAGAGGGCACCACCGAAAGTCCAGTTTACATGCTCACCTCCCGCTCCTCTTGGATAGCGGTCATCTCACCCCCGATGGCGCCGCCTTCAAGCAGTGGTTGGCTTGGGGGGGGGATCGAAAGACCCCTCGATGTGGTCGGGGTCGTGTTAACACTGCTGGTGCTCGGAACTACCACACTGGAGCTGGATGACCTATTCAGCGTCGTCCCAGTGTCTGTCTCGGAAGGTTGCTCGATCACCTCGCCCGCGGAGATTGCAGTAGGGACTTCGCGCTGCAGTGGAGACGAGTGGACAGGCGAGTTAGATTTCTTGCTACTTGCCGCGTCACCGTTCCCCCCTCGAGAGGAATTCCGGGGAGAGACCCTGCCCGTCTGTCCTATTCATTAGCACAGAATACATACCTCGGAAGCGGGTCCCGCAAGAGTAGGGGTGGCGCTAACCTGCTTTGCCCACCTAAGGCCGCAGCTATTACACAAGTCCCTCTGGCCACTCGGGCCTCTCCGCCACTCAGGGGTGTTACGAGTGTGGCAGTTGGCACAATCTCGAACAAAATTCCCGACACCCTTTCTACGTTTACGCTTCTTTTTGTTAGAGAGCAGGCCGTGTAGCTCCTCGGCCAGTACTCGATTCACCTTCTCCATCTGTCGTAATTCATACTGCCAGCTGGTGCATCTCGTCGTCTTAAGCTCATCAAAAATGTTATCGCCTGAGGCAAGAGCCCTATCTTGATCGCCGGGGGCAATGCCCCCGCCTGCGGCAGCGGATATGACGCCAGATCCCTGGTCTTCCGGCGCCGGCATGGCGAAATTGGACATCGTCTTGGCGTCGTTGGAGTGGCTGGTGGGGCCCCGCCCGCTTGAGAGCGCCGATACAGTTGGTCCAGCAGCCCTAGAGGAGGCTTTGACCAACTTAGTCTGAGCTAGTAAGAACGTAGGTTTCTGTCCCTCTGAAGCGTCGCCTGGATACATGATAGTATGGGCTTGAAGAACCTGACCGCGGCGGTTCTGTACTTCGTGTTTGCAGGTGACTATGCGTCCCCTTCGTGCTTTTTCGATAGAACGCCCAAATTCAGCGCGCGACTCTTTGCGCATAAGCTCCTGAATGCTTGTGCCCACGAGATTATCGGGTTGTAGATCCAACAAGGACCGAACATTGGCAGAAACGAATAAAAACATGCCGGACGTTGACAGCTTCGTCCACAGCTCGCTATCGCCGATACCGCCGTTTAGTTCTAGGTCGCGTCTACTGAGCGCAAAGACTGGACGCTTCCGACCAATAAGTATGATGCACTTTCGTCCCTTCCCCTGCTCGACGAACAGTGAGCCATGACTTTCGAACCAGGTATATCCATTCTGCTTCCGACGTATACGAAACACTATGTTCACCGAGCTCCCGCTGGTGGCATCCTTAAGCTCGCGGGTTACGGGGACAATGTCAGAGGGATGGGATATGGACGAGATAGAATTCCCGACTAGTTCGGTTGCGTCGTATTCGAGGATGCGGTTACAGGACGGCGACAAGTAGAGAAATAGTCCCTTCAACGAGAGCACGTGAACAACATCGTCGGCATTTTCTAACAGCATCTTGTCCCAAGACTGGCGATGCCAATCGGAAACAGGTCCTTTCGGGTGAAACTGCTGGAGCAAAGTGGAGATGTCGTCGACTCCTAGCGTTTGTCCATTCTCCGGCTCCCACTGGCTTGACGGCGGGGGGGTCCAAATATACTGACCGATGTCGCTATGCTTATAATTAACCTTCATAGTACCGGGTCCTTGGTGCGAGGCGATGGCATCAGGACATTCGACAAGATCGATCTGGAATCCGATAATGTACCTGACCTCGGCAGTGTCCCACGGGATAGGAATCATGGTCAACAGATTCAGGAAGGGTTTTCCCCCTTTCCGGTAGTTGATCAGACTCTGCTGGACCTCTTTGCCCTCTGCGATCTTCTGCTTTAGATTAAAGACAGCCCCGTTATCGACGAATTCCCGCTTTGTGCCTGCTTCGACCTTGCCATCTGGTGCTTGGAGAAAGCGACAATTTTGGCCAACAATCTCGTGTTGACTATAGCCGGTCAGGTTCTGAAAATTGTCCGAAACGTATATGATCGGACAATCATTCATCGTAACATCACAGACGACGAAAGCACAAGACATGTCAACAGCGCCGAGGTTGACCTCTGGGTTCTTCCGCGTGGCCACTAACCAAAGGGCCCTAAGCATGTCAAATCCGCTTTTAGAATAGATGGTCTTCTCCTTGGGAGGCTGGGAACCTATGATGGCGTTAATCGGCACTACCGGTTGGGGTGGGGCGGAGCTGTCCGGGGTTGTTTCTGTTGTGGTAGCTATAGGGGATTGGTAAGATGGGGTGGATGATACAAGATTCTGAGTGTGAACCTGTGCAGAAGGCTGCGACGAAATACTAGGTTGAAACCCGTCCATGGTGGTGTCTATGCCCAAGTTCGCTTGTTGCTGGCGGTGTTGACCGGGCGTGGAGAATTGTGGAGAGACGTCCATCATACTATCGTCGCTGGTATCTACGGAGATCGGGGCGTTGGCGTTACCCGGGACGGTGCCCAAGGGGTTGCTTTCGCTCGATAGATCCATGTTGAAGTCGCTAGACAAATTATCCATGGGATTCGGCGGAAACGCGGTAGGCATCGCCGACGTAAACATATTCATTGATGGGTCAGGGCCCATTTGGCCCATGTTCATATTCGAAAAGGCAATCATATTCCCCACCATCTCTGGAGAGAGCGTCGAGAAATCGTCTGCGAGTATGGTCTGGGGAGAGAAACTGGCCGAGGCCGCAGACAGGGCCATATTCGTGTTGATATCGGGAAAGCCATTGCTTATGCCGTTGGCAGAGCTTGGCATCACCCCAAACTGATAATCCCGATATGTGTCGTCGTTGTCACCAAACTCCAACATGGACATCCGCCTGTCGGGCTCAGGGTGCGACATCTGGTCAGGAAAGGGCTGCGGTAAACTCCGTCGCCTTTGAAGCTCTTGAGAATTGCTGCGGATGATGTCGTCAAGGGAGTCGGCGCCATTTAAAGAGTCGTTCGGGTTTGCGGTAGTGACAGAACAATATTGAGGTTGCTGGTTTGACTGGCTCAATACGGCGCTTACTTGGCGTCTCTGATTTCGCTGATGAACATGACGACGTCGAAGTTCCTCCTGAGAGAGCTGGTTGTTGAAAAAATTATCCATTTCCGCAACATCTATTACGTCGTTCAATCCGATGCGTATGGAAAGAGTTCTCCCCGCTTGTAGAGATAATGCTCTGTGCGAGGAGATAGCCCTTCCTTCCGACAAGTGAATGGGAGAAGGTCGGGATAAGCTCGACCGGTAGCTGATGGGTGCCCAAGCTATTATATGCTTGGGTATTCGTAGACCGGAAAGATATCCAGGTCCAAGCTTGTGTTAGGACATCCGTGCCATGCAACGATCACACCAGGGAGACGGCCAAGGAGAGGCGTTCGTTCGGACACAGGGCGTGGTGACGCTGCTACATGTGAACTGTTGGCGACGGGGAGGAAATCAATCTCTTGCGCGGAAAACAGAGATGAGGAGCGCTGTAGACAACAGGAATCGGTGACGGGTTACATAGGTCTAAGACAGGCGTAAGCGGAAAGGTTGGCAGCTATTCCTTCGACGGGCAGCCACATCTAGACTCCGAGATGCCGCTATAATGCACGCAACATAGCAACGAGAATCGGAGACGAGGAAGCGAAGATTTGCAGGGGCATCAATAGTTCGCCGACATCGATCTAACGGAGGTATCACAGACCATATAGAGGGATGGGTGTCTATCGATACTATATGAGAGACTATTACTACTAGCGTTATAATTTTAGTTAATTGTTTCAGATAACCCATAGAATAAATAGAATAAATAGAATAAATAGAATAAATAGAATAAATAGAATAAATAGAATAAATAGAATAAATAGAATAAATAGAATAAATAGAATAAATAGAATAAATAGAATAAATAGAATAAATAGAATAAATAGAATAAATAGAATAAATAGAATAAATAGAATAAATAGAATAAATAGAATAAATAGAATAAATAGAATAAATAGAATAAATAGAATAAATAGAATAAATAGAATAAATAGAATAAATAGAATAAAGTAAAATATAAAGATCTTAAAAAGTTTATATATTTTATAAAGATTTTTCTATAAATTTTATATTATAAATAAAGTTCAGTAATATTACGTAGAGGTGGCTTCTTAGGTTGCTCCTCTTCGTTGCTTACCTTAGCAACAGGAGCTCCTATATATACGCTCCCGTTGCTTCCATTCCTTTAGCTCGTTCTTAGATAGATTTAAGACCTTTTTACCTTTTGCTCCTCCTCCCGTTGCTCGTGAGATAGCTCTCTGCGCACGCTCTCACGTACGTAGCTCCAGCTACGTGATAAAAAAATAATACATTAAACTTTTAATATTAACTATTACGTTTTGAAAGGCCACTCACTTCGTAAAAGAGGTATATTACAATATATTATAACCTGCCTATACTTATTAATAATATAATGTAATTATAAGGTTTCTTAATATATTAAGAAATTAAGGTTCTAATTATGAAATTTATGCTTTACTTACTTCTTAATACTTTATTTTATGGTAGTTTTTAAAAATAAACCATAGATTTAAAGTGACAAATTTAAAATTAAAAAATATAATTATTTATAAAAGGAATATCTTTTATTTTAAATAAACTTACATAATTAAATTAAAAAAAATTTTATTTTAAGTAGGCGCGTATTTGTTAGGAACCACGGTTATAAGGGTACCAACTTATATAGATTATAAGATACGAGAGGGGAAAGTAAAAAAAGGTTATTCTACTTCTTATTAAGCGTAAGGGCTTAGCGTTAAGATAATACGGCTTAAGGTCGTAAGGGATTTTAATTACGTTCTACGGCTTGAGGCCGTAGGTACGGCCCTTAACCATACTATGGGAATTGGAAATATTACGCTCCTTAAATAAGAAAGTCTATATTGTAGTGGTGCGGTGGATCTAGGCCACGTAGCCTTTTGGATGCGTATTTATATGGGTCGCGCACTCATATTTTCATCAGTTAGACTTAGACCTATAGATATCACAGCCTATAGCCATTCACTCGTTTCTTGCCATGCCTTTCTAGCCATCCTCGTTGCCCTTTCCAAGTCCCCTTTCCTAGCTGCCGTTTTCAGCTGGCCGATCAACCGATTACAGCTGTTTACAGCTGTAATCTAGGTCTGATCGGCACTGGGCCAGTTGTTGGCAGTTGGGCAGTCCTTGTTTCGTGCCTCCGTCAGCGTGCCCACGCTGCTCCTGTTCAATATAAATAAACTAAGAGATTTATTTTTTTCTTAATCTTTACTTAATTCTTTAATTATTAATCTTAAGTATATAGTTTACTTTTAATACGTACTTTTATTCGTAAAATTAAAAAGTATATAAAGTATAAGTTATATAACTTATAACTAATTCTTTAATATATTAATATAAGTATTTTTACTATTTATTATTATTAATAAGTATAGTATGGTTATAATGTTTCAATTACTCTTTAATCTTAAAAATAAATTTTAAAAAGAAATAAGTAATATCTCTTAAGGAGATAGGTAACTAGGAAGTAATCCTTTAATAAAATAATTAAGAACTTTAATATATAATAACTTTCTAGAAAGTTTAACTTCCTCTAAGAACGAAAGGCTACCCGAGGAAGATCCTCGCAGCTCCGGATAAGTAGAAAGCCTCGAAGGAAAAGGAGTAGAGTTAATCTGAAACTTTAAAGATTTTAATATTGACGACGATAATAATAATAAAATATCTATGTTTAGAAATTTAATACTAATAAGCGGTAATAACCTTATAATTCTATTAAACGTTAAAGAATATAAATCGAAGTAACCTTAAAGTTATAATAATTTAAAAGACTTGAAAGGATTCTTTATTTAAAGAAAAATATTCTTATACTTTTACGAGAAGTATTTTACGAGACTCGATTAGTAAATCTTAACTATAACCTAAAGCCTTACGGATAAGGTTAATAATTAACTCGCGTTTATTATTAAAGATTTCTTAATTAATAAGAACGACCCTAAGAATATAAAAGAAGAAACGAAGAATATCTTTAAAATTTATAAAGCGTTTGAATGAAAAATCGAAGTAATCTTCGGAGATATAAATAGAATTCGAATAGTAGAGCGACGATTAGGAAGCTTAACTTAAATTAAATAAACATATACTTACGGTATTAAATTTAAGAGTTAAGCAGTAAAGACTAACTACGATAATATAGCCTTGATTAGAATATTTTATAACGGACTTAAGAAACGAGTTAAGAATAAGATATACCAATAAAACTATCTAAATACTTTCAAAGAATTTATATAAATAATAATAAAAGTCGATAATTAATAATATAAATATAAATAAAAAGATAAAAAGGGACCTATTTATATCCTTAAGCGACGAAATAAACCTAAGCCCCGAAGTATTACTTTAAGAGCCTACTCTAAACTAATGGATATCGACGTTATAAGAAAGGAGAGGAAGAAGAAGGATAAAAGTAAAGTTAAGTACTTTAATTACAGGAAGCTTAGGTATTATAAAAACGAATGTAGGTTTAAATAAAAGGTCTTAAAATTAAAGACTTTATAGAAAGAAAATATAAAAGTAATAATAAGAACTATAGAGAAAATGAATATTAATTACGTATATTAGACATACAATACCCTAAGATAACAGGTGAACTGGAGAGGCAGTAGAATCCCTCTTATTAACCCTTGCTCTGCATAGCGCCCCAAAGACAACCGCCCGATACCGACTCCAAGTCTAACCATACTAAACCTTCGTTTCATTCGGTAATAGATTAAACTCCAAATAATAGGACGCACTAGTAATCATTCTTCAAGTAAGTTAAACTACTCTGGAATCTCCTTAATAAGACTCTATATATACTTCTCTAGCTTAACCGCATACTTAGTATATATAGTTATTACGTTATTATACTACTAATAGTTACGAAATATTAACTTAAGTTCGCTAATCAGGTCTTTCCGAATAGCATAAAAATTACGCTCTAATCTTACTTCTATAGTCGATAGATCCATTAGTTTTTTAATAACGTTATAATAATCAGGGACTTCGTCTTTATTAACAGGATTAAGAAAAGGCCATACTTATTTATAGTTTTAGATTTGAAATAGAAAACGTCGAAGTTCGTTAAAATAAGGTCCGTAGCGTAGTTCTCGCGCTAATTTATCCATGTCTAGAGACTAGCTAGTTACCTAAATGGTAGGGGTAGAGCGTAGATCGATTAGAGTAATAACGCCGTTAGCTTATTACTAAAGCGGTTAATGGATAATATAGCTTTTATTTAAGGAACGAATTTTTATTAGTACGGTTTCCTTCTGCTTAAGAAGCATACGGCCAACTTTAAGATAACGTATTCGGGGAAGCATGGAATATTATATAAGCGTTCCTCCTTCGTAATCCTTAATATACCCCATCTAAATTAACTTATCGAAAGTAATCTCTTTAGTAAACCCTTACTTTTAAAAATACCTAATAGCATAATTATCGGCGTAAGTTAAAAAATATATCACTAAGGAAGAAGCTTTAATATAATTCTTTAAATAAGCCATGAGATACGTTCCGTATCCTTTTACCTACTAATTAAATAAGACCGCGTAAAACCCGATTTCAGTAAACTTACGGTCTCGGAATTCTCGGAATATTATTCCGCTAATAACCTCCAGAGGCATTTTAACGATAGCGATAGATAAATAAGTACGATCGTAAACGAGACGTACGATATAATCTTTAGGTATTTTTAGAAGTTACTTTTAAAATAGGCATTTAAGACCTATAAGGATAATCTAACTCTCCTTGGTACTATCATTATTAATAACTCGGAATTCGATTTCGCTATTTCGTTCTTCTAGAACTACAGGCTTTAGAACAGTTAGAACGTTCCTAACATTTAATAGTACTAGCATACCTTCTCTAGGAAAGGAACCCTTTTTAGGTTATAACTAGAGGTTAAATATCATAAAAGCTTTTGATTCTTTTAGTATCGGGGGCGGTATTTGGTTCTTTAGAAGCCGCGCGCTTTGCGACGATTGGATTTTATCCGCGGTCGGCTAGAAACGATCAAGACTCTACTTTGTCCATTAGTATTAAATACTCGCGAACCTCGACTTTCGATAGGTAATATTCAAATTAGTACAGATTAGCCTCTGGGGTTATCGCAGTCCTTACTCTTGAACAATGGAAATGTTGAGTTTAGTTGTCAGGTAGTACTGAGGGAGGTACGTCGGGAGCGCTGTATTTATATGCGCGACCGGGGCAGATTGGCGTAAGACGTCGCGAGCATGGTGGGGCGGGGACGAAGGCGGTGAGACGGA